AGAGGATAGATCCACAGAGGATAGATCCACAGGACAGATCCACAGAGATAAAGATAAAAACTAAATGACTAACATTATAGAATACAGACGAGTTAAATCAACTCGGAGTTAAAATCAGGGAATCAAAGTTTTTAAACGAGACATAAACAGTGATGGAGGAGCCTGACCTGCAGTGGTAACTCAGTCCACAGTTTGGACCTGCAACAGAGAAGGTTCTGTCACCTCTGAGCTTAAAACAAGTGACTGGCACCAGTAGAAGCATCTGGTCTGACCTCAGAGAGGCTGTGGGACATATGGCTGCAGCAGATCAGAATCAGAATAAACTTTATTGGCATTGCACCGAGATACAACGCGAACATGTACGTACAGTCGTCCGAAGATGGGCGGAGTGCACGAAGCTGCGGCTAAAATAATCAGCGCGGCCTCTTATTCTTATTCAGAATAATATTTTGCTTAGATGAGAAAAGGAAAGAAAACCTGAGGAGAGACGGTATAAAAAAAGATCTCACTCCGTGTCCTAGACAGGGCACGATTTGAGGCATCAAACAAACCTCCCACAGCAAAGCAACATAAACAGACGTTATACATGAACATACAGGCGGTGAAGATGTTGAAGTTTTAAGGGAAAGTTGTAGCATAGTCCAGAGCCCCCCTCAGCCATTGTCCAGATAAGAGGTGACGTTCATCTTCAGCTCAGCTGAGGTTCTGTTACATGTCCACGGCCTTGGGGAAGGGAGGGGTGAGGAAACAGTCAAAGCATCTTTGTTGTTTTCTGAACATTCCAGGAGGAGTTGAGATAAGTCCGGCATCAAGGCCACAGTTTGGGTCAGGCAGAACTCGTGAATTGTTGTTTCTGCCTTTAAAGTCTCGCTGGTACATATTCTCTGATGGAAACTCCAAAACAGACGAATTGATCCTTTACTCCAAAGTCGAGCTCACAGCTTCTCCAGATTATTCCACCATTCATGAGCGCTGCCAGGGAGATCACAGTCCTGATAACAGCTGCTCCAATTCCCTGTCACAGCTCCACATTCAGTCCGAGCACTGTCAAGCTTCAACACCTCCACATGAATTTGTAGACAACCAGATTCCACCAACCCAAACAGTAGATTCTAGTCGTCATCATGAATCCAATTTGTTCCTTAAAGAGGTCAGAGGGTCCTCCTTACCCTGACTCCTGTCGGGAGAAGTTGATCGATTTTGTTGAGAGACCAGCTGATCCTTCCAATTAAGAAGTATGCAGGAAAAAAAGAGGCTTTTTAAGGTTCACAGGACAAAAGAGCGCAGCAGGGAAGCAGGTGGGGCGGGGGGGGGACACGTCTGGTTCCACCGGAGAGTAGCAGAAAAAAAAACTTGGATCAGTGAGATAGGAGGGGGCAGAACTGTTTAGAGATTTAAAAACGTACAGAACGATTTTTAAAACTGTCTTTCTATTGAATTTTTTGTTAACAACAACAACAACAACAACAACAACAAAGAACAAGCCCCCTCACCCCTTCCCTCCCACACCAGATCAGTCACACATACACAAATCAAACAGGAACTGGCAAATGTTCCACATAAAACTCTGCCAGGTGTCCCAAAATTTTTTAACAGAACCCTTCAGGGCACAAAATTAGCCTCCTGGCCAGAAGAGAGCCAAAGACAATCACATCCTTCTTGTATTTGCTGAAGGACATATCCACAGGGACCACCCTGAACAGTGAGATGAAATGATGGGTGAACAGTTTTACCACATATTCCAGAGAAGGTGTCAAAAATAGATGATCAAAAGTCTGCAGTTTGGGACAGAATGTACGCAGGAGTGTAGCTGGAGTTTGTTTACAACGATTGCATGCGGGGTCCAGGTCGGCTTTGATCTTGGACAACTTGTCTTTGGACCAGTGCAGCCGGTGCACCACCTTGAATTGGATCACAACATGTCTCAGACAGATTGAACATGAGTAAATGTTCTTAATGGTCCTTCTCCAGGTTGAGTCTGATATGGGTTCCTCCAAGTCCACAAACTGGGCTCATGGTAGGAACTGAGTGGTGTATGAAGCTTGCTGAGGGCCCGCTTCGTATCAGACCTGCATTCTAAAATCTTAGTCACAAAATGTTTAGAGGGTACAAAGAAAAACAATCAGAACATACAGAAGGATTTTAAAATGAATTTTAAAGTGAACTGGGAGCCAGTGAAGGGAGGCCAGAACTGGAGTGATGTGTTCTCTATGGCCTGCACCAGTGAAGGATCAGGCTGCAGCAACAGGCGACCTTCCTGCCTGCGGAAGAACTGGTGCTGCCGGGCTCAAGGTCTGGACTCATTCTGTCTCAGAGCAGGACCAGAACAGACTCAGGACTTTAGAGGAACCTCTCATCCCTGAACCAACACATGAGCCCACAGCTCCAGAACCTCCTGATCCAGAGCCTCCTGATCCAGAGCCTCCTGATCCAGAACTGTCAGTTCAACATGTCCGTGCATGACAATGTGTTTAACTCTGTGCGCGTGTGTGTGCGTGCGTGCATGTGTGTGTGCGTGCGTGCATGTGTGTGTGCGTGCAGCTCTCTGTCAGCAGGGATGTAAACATGGCAGCTGTGTCGGACCCGACAGATGTGAATGTCACCCGGGATTCACGGGGAAGGCCTGTAACCATGGTAACCACCAGTGTTTGTGCGCTGACGTTCATCACCACAGGGTTGCACGAGTCAGGTTCAGGGTCTCAGATCTGACCCGGTCCACATGTGGACCCAAAGCTGGAACGGTTCTCTGAGTGAGGAGTGCACAGATTAAAAATTTCCCATCATGCCTCAGAGGAGCAGACACATTCCTGTCATGCTTGTTTGACCTGTGAGGGCGTGTTGTACCTGCAGAACCCCACAACACACACACACACACACACACACACACACACACACACACACACAAAGAGTAATAAAACATATCTCTGTGAGGACACGGTGGATTTCTAAAAGTTGTGCTCGTCTGGTTCTGAACCGGTTCAGAACCTTCAGTCGGACCTCTGAGGAGCAGAACCTCTTCACAGCTGCAGTTTGAACAGTGTTCAGATCTTAAACATCACAAAAAGCTTCATCTCCTCACCTCCATAGGTTCAAATCCTCATAAGAGCAGTGTTTTACATGCACACACACTTTCAGTGCTGACAGGGTCAAAGGTCAAAGGTTAATCCTACAAACTGACATGGAAACAGAAGAGTCCACCCAGGTTAATGTTTGATGCCTGCTCTCTCTCTCTCTCTTTGTGTGTTTCAGACCTGAACGAGTGCGGTCTGAAGCCTCGGCCCTGTAAGCACCGCTGCATGAACACGCCGGGCAGCTTCAAGTGTTTCTGTCCAGACGGATACGCTCTGCAGCCGGACGGCAGCTGCAGGAGTGAGTTCACCAAACGTCTCCAGAGTCCTGCCTGGTTCTGTCCCACCAACCCCCTCCAGAGTCC